CACACACACACACACACACACACACACACACACACACACACACACACACAACCCTATTCATGTCTCTAAATATTCATCCTTTGTGTTTTTGCCTTTTCTCTTGTCGAACGTCTAACGAGTCTCTCTCCTTCATCGCCTTCATTCCACTCCTTGTTATCTTCCCCAACATCTTCACAGCCAGCATCCCCCTCTGCATGTGCAACTTGCCCTTCCTCGCTCTCGGAAATGCAATTAATCACATTGGCCGATGCGTTGGACCTTTCGAGTTTATTCTTCTCTTCCCTCTCCACATCATTCAATAGTTTTATCATCTCATCTGAGTTTTCTTTCGCCTCGGCCGCAAGTTCTGTACACACACCTGGTTGCATCGCCTTCGCAACCACATCCTCCGCTGAAGGAGTGGGACTCTCCATTTGTGATGCCCCTTCGTTTCCCAACTGTGTCACAAGCGGAGGCCCGTATGATGCAACGTTTGATTTTTGTTCGACCGCGTGAGACGTTGGAGCTCCCTTAACCCCCGTAATCGTCCACTTTCCATTTCCTTGAAGTAGGGTGTTTCCCTTCTCTGTGTAGTTTGCTGCGACACGCGTTTGACTCAGCGCTTCTTCTGCACTCAATGCAAAGTTAGTCTGCGACATTGCCGCAAGCTGCGAACATCCAACAGGAATGTTATCGAGCCCGTGGCATGTGGGAGGCTGTACGATTTTCCAATCGATTTTGTTATACGACCGGCTTGATGGAAAGTCGTAAAACTGATGCTTGTACTCCAAGCGATTGTTGGAGCGTAGAGACTCGAACAACGATTGGGCCTTCGCGCATATAAGGGCTTCATCGGCACCATGGTTTTCCTTCGTAACGCGTAATAGGATTTCACCGTTTGTGGTTTTCAACCATGAATCTTCTGCCATCCTGGGTTTGACTTTCCAGCCATCTCTCAGATGCAGTGCCATTGCCCACTTCCCCTCGTCAATGCACGGTTCGAACACATCTGGGTGCCACAGTATGTGATGCCCCCACTTCGCTGACGACGTCTCTTCCCCCACGTCATGAAATACATAGGGCGAGGTGGGGCCCTGCATGAAGCTTTCTGGAATATCATGACCGGGCGTCAACTTCGGGAAGACACCTGGAACAACCAAGTCATCCTCGTCGGCGTCTTTCTGCACGTCGTTCATCCTCATCCCTCCAGACATCCGTCCGATGGACCTCTTCTCTCCTTGATATCCGTAGCGATTGCCGTGAAGCAGGGTGTTAATTACGGCTTGAACAGGTGTCGGTGAATCCCTTGGGAATTCACCAGCGGAACTTGCCCTGTCCTGTGTGTTAACCACTTGAGTGCTCAGTGGTCCGGATTGTTGCAGACCTCCTTCGGGGTTCTCGTTTTGCACGCTGCCATCCGGAACATTTTGCACTCCCTCACGACCATGTGCACCATCTCGAGAACGCTTAACCCGTAGGTCGATTTCAAGGTCCGAGGTCTCAGTCTCTTCATCGTTGTCAATCGGATTCCACGCATCTGTTCTACGTGCGACGTCACTGTAGTCACTGTACGTCAACTTGTTGCAATGTCTCATGAACTTCATCTCTTCGCATCGTGCAATAAACAACGCGAATGCCCCCACCTCCGCCTTGTGGTAACCACCATATGCTTCTTGTGTCATCGCTTTACGATAGATGTACTTGTGCTGGAATGCAGTCTTGGGGTCGCCCTGGAACAAGTACTCCCACATTTTTTCTCTTTTCTTCCCCAACTTGTGGTACATGTCCCTGTCCGAGCGTTGTGTGCTCTTATGTTTCTCGATGGTGCAATCGTTTCGAGGATCCTTGGCGAGTATTTCGATGGCCTTTGTCAAATATGCGATGTCTGTGGACGATGCATCGCACGCAAATACATGGTTCCCCGCGCGCAAAATCTTCCACACAAGGCCAGCATGTGGCTTCCCAAGGACTATAACCCCTTCGTCCTCATGCAGAAATGAGCTGCATAAGGTTTATAGCCGCTGCGGCTCTTGTTCCCAACGCCCATACTCCTCTTTTTCACTGCCTTCATCGCCGCCATGTTTTGCTGCACACCGCTTAAAAAATTGTTCCACGACGTTTACTTCCACAATGTCCGCTTCTGAGCGCGACACTCTTGTAACCTTTCCGAGGTCGCCTACCTTGGCATGCAAGACGATCGTCATCGTGTCCTTACTCTCAATTTGCATATTCCCATATTTATCGACAGTCGTTCCGACCCCCATAAAGCGCTTCCAAGTGCCGGGTATCACCTCAACGTTCTCCCGATTGTAGAGGTGTCGCATGACGGTCTTGTGATGTTTTTGTGACGCGAAGACGATCAATGTCCAATTCTTGCCGCACAACTTTGACATCATTTTGTATAGAGCGTCGAAGTCCTCCGACGACCACGAAGAGCAATGCGACGGTAATGCGAGATCCAAGATGGTGGCCTTGCAATTAAGGTTTGTGGCAGCGGTAACGACTTCATCTTGCGCAGGCAGCAACTCCTTTGGGTGCATATTAATCGGCAGCAATGTTGTTCGTCGCCCTTTCCCTTCCCACAACAGGTGAAGCGCAGCATTTGACAATCGCCACATCTCTGCCGTAAGCAAATCCACCTTTCCTATCGCCCTGTACACGAAGACCTTAAAATGAAATGACGCATCTTTATACAATGCCTCTGTGGCCTTCAACCCTGCTCCTTTCAGGCCTTTTATTTCTTGGTCGCCACCAAGTCGTTTTGGAACCTTCCTAACGTACTCCAAAGGGATTTTATCCCTTTCCTCGTCCCATGCTTCCGCTGTGACACCGTACCTCTCTGTCATGCCCTTGTAATCGAAGAAGAACTCTTGGTTGCAGTCGTCCTTCTCTCTGTTCTCCGATTTGAACACGATGTAGTTGAAGAGACGCATCATGTACCTCTATCGCATGATAATGTCGAGGAGGTTGTTCATGTTCAACTTCCCCGTAGGAACCTGTCTAGCGGTGGCTATGACCTTCTTATTGATCATCAACCACAATGCGACGTCCTTCTCTCGCGCCGTCATATCTCCAAAGCATTTGAAGTTTAATGGAACGAGATCTTTGAAGGTGACGGTGGCTCCATGCCCCCCGTCCTTAGCCGCGATGCAATGGAACACCTCCTTTTTTCCATTGACTTCTTTCGTATATTGCCCCGGAAGCTTGCCCTCTTGCCTCCCCGGCATATCTCTAGGGCACCTGCCATCGTACAGTGGCAACTCTCCTGCTTCGAACTTCTCAAAAAACTCTTTCACCAACGGCCATATCCACCTCTTACACGTCGCCACGTTCATGTATCCTCTCATCCGGTTCGACCAGTCGGGCTGCCACTTTGGATGGAAGGCCTCAGTCTAAAGGTTTTTTTCACATGACCGGGTCAGGCAAACCCTCATGAATTCCCGCCACATCTCCTGGTGCATTTTACCGTTGATGTCGTTTTCAGCTACCTTGAAACCCACTGGCTCGATGTAATTCTTCAACCGCCAAAAACCTCTTATTTCTTCACACGCCTGGTGGAACGACGGTAACATGGCACGGTCACCTCTCGTGTTGTCGTATGTTGAAACAACCGAATACCCGTGTTTGTGATCGTCGTTAAAGTAAACAACGCGCACTCGGTCATAATCGTGCAAACCGTAAATGGCAACAACAGGAGATCCCCGACGTACCGCTCTTTTCATGGCCTCTGCTGTGTGCTGCCCAGCAACCGGGTAATAGAAGTATTCCTTCGCACGCCTCCAATCAAAGTCCTCCGGAAGAACACGTGTTCCTTGGACATTGGGGTCATTCGCACAAGGCGTAATTGGAGCGAGTATCAACTCCGACGGTTCCCACGGAGCATCATCATCCACACCCCTTTGAGCAGTGGACCTATCAATTAATGCATCGAGACCTGCAACAATTGCCTTGTTCAGTGACCGCTGGTTGAATTCGATGTTGCCCTCGGGAATCAGAAGAATCGACATGACATCTATGCAAACCCTTGGCACGTCTTTTCTTTTCCTGCCGTCTTCATCGTACTCGAAAAAGAAGCACCGTGTGATGTCGACTGCACGGGGCTTCTTCGTTTCCGTTTCGTCCTCGGCAATGAGGTCAGGCCGACGAGGGCCCACCCCTTCAGCGTCGTCGCTTGAATCATCTGACTTGGGAAACCTTGACGAGCGTGCAACTCTCTTAGGTTGCGATGTTTTGCGAAAACGGGTGCCTTTTTTACGTTTGTTGGCGGCTTCGCCAAGCGTTTCCTGTGATGCATCCAAGGCACATCGAGCATCATCCACAACTTCTTTTCTGGCTCGTTTCTTCATCGCTGTTGGTGTTAGGGATGCATTTGCTTTCCGCTTAACCCTACTCTTCGAAGCCCCACCCGTTTCTACATCTCCATTCCCTCCATCGTCCTCCTCATCCTCATTCTGCATTCGTTCACTTTGTTCCATGTCATTGTGTGGCCCACCATTCGACGCACTCATTTCACTTTGTTCCCCGTCATTGTGTTCCTCATCCGAACAGTCGTCATCACATCGCCTACTGCCACCGGGACGTTGTTAGAGTTCCACGTTCCCTTCGCTGTCTCCTCCGGCGCCCCCGTGTCGTGAGTCCTCCAAGGACCCCACGTCCCGTCCGCGGAACACAACATCCTCCTCCGTTTCCGTTTGCTCCTCAGACCGTTGGTCGACGGCTTGAAGATCCGTCTGCCGCGAGCGTGAAGTGCCAGCAGTCGCAGCAGGTCCTTGTAGTTGCGGTGGAGTTGTGGCGAGTTGTTTCCTCTTCTCAGCCTTATCCGATGAACCTGCCCCCGACCGCCTGATGTACGTAATTACCTTCTGAGCAACGTCTGAATGTTGCTGAGAAGTTGAAGGCACTTGGCGTGCTTCCCCACAAGACTTCAAAATGTCTGCGACACCCTGGACCGGAGTGTCGTACGGGACAAGCGGTCCTGTGAACTGACAACCGGCGTCTACCTTCGGGTACTGACCACTTTTTCTATAGATGTTTGTTTTGTTAAGGAAATCCACCGAATGAACTATCCGAAACTCAGTTCCACCCCCCTTCGCCTCAAAAGGTTTCTTACCGAACGCCCTCTGACCGTACCCTTTGCACAGGGCTAGGTCGAGGCTGACTTTCTTGTCGGCGTCGACCCAGTCGGTGCCCTGTTCATCGTAAACGGAAGTGAGATGGAATTTCCTCAATTCTCTGTCGTCAACCTTGCCCTTCTCCGTCGTTGCCTTATCGCCCTCGGACTTCATGATGCCACCACAACAGTACCGATTCAGACCTCCGTCTTCCGTCAAGAAAACTATAGCACCACATCCGGCCTCATGGGTGCCACCCACCCTGTCAAGAGCCCAAAGCTTATCACGGTAGAGTTTGGACATGTTGTTTATCCTTTTCTCCCCATCTCATGAAGTCCTCGGTTTCCTTCCTGGATGGGCAAAACGTACGCAAAGACCGACCGAACAAACAGACAACTGTCATCGCCATATCACGAACTGGATCCCGTAACAGCAGACCCTCTCAAGTGGTCATTCCAGGGAGGGTCCACACCGGTGCACGAAGTCGAGTGGGGGTCCAGCGTATGTGAAACGCTGGACCCTCCCCCCTATCTATGCCGAAGGGGTGTCCGGCTTTTCACAAACACAGACCCCTTGGGGGCACGAAGTGCAGCGGGGCTCCGGCGTTTGTGGAACGCTGGACCCACTCCCCAACCTGTGGCGAAGCAGGAGAGGAATCGACGTTTCTCAAACGCTGGATCCCCATACCTCTGCCTGCTAGCAGGGGGGTCTACATACCGAAAGACTCTCCCCCACAACTGTCATCGCCATATGTACATTGGTGCACGAAGTTGAGTAGGGGTCCTGCGTTTGTGGAACGCTGGACCCACTCCCCTACCTGTGGCGAAGGCGGAGAGGGTCCGGCGTTTCGCAAACGCTGGACCCCCTTCCTGGCAGAGAGAGGTGTGGGGGTCCAGTGTTTGTGAAACGCCGGACCCTCTCCCCCTTCGGCATCGGACGGGGAGAGGGTCCAGCGTTTCGCAAACGCCGGACCCCCTTCCTGCCAGAGAGAGGTGTGGGGGTCCAGCGTTTGTGAAACGCCGGACCCTCTCCTCCTTCGGCATCGGAGGGGGAGAGGGTCCAGCGTTTCGCAAACGCCGGACCCTCTACCCCTTCCTGGCAGAGAGAGGTGTCGGGGTCCAGCGTTTCGCAAACGCTGGACCCCCTTCCTGGCAGAGAGAGGTGTCGGGGTCCAGCGTTTGTGAAACGCCGGACCCTCTCCCCCTTCGGCATCGGAGGGGGAGAGGGTCCAGCGTTTCACAAACGCCGGACCCCCTTCCTG